TTCACAATAATAGCATGGGCTTAAACAAATAGAACACTTTTGGCAAAACTCAGTGTTAAGCCCCTGAATTTTTCCCCTTTTCACACACAAATCCATTAAAAAAAGTTGACATACAAGCCCTTAAATGGACCTATCTTAGCAAATTAACTCTTATTTTAATGGTAACAATCACAATTGTCACATGATATTTCTTTAATATATCAATGCTTAGGTGTAAAAAGAATATCACAAAAGGAAAAAACAACTCTTGATTGTTGCTGTTAATATAAGGTTAATTTGCTAAGATTGAGGCCTTAATGGGTTTGTTTGCTACTTTTTTTTCTTTAAGGTTTTATTGAAAATTTTGAAAAGTTAAGGGGTTTACTAACAAAGTTTTACCAACAACTTGTTCTGGCCTTGAGCCTTTCAATCCTTTGGAAAAGTCATACCTGTCTCCTTGCACTTTAATTTTGCGCACATTTTCCGTGTTTTGACTTTCTACCTTTGAGTTTCTCTCTCTACTTCCCGTCCATATATGTATACTTAAAACCGAAGCACCTAAGGAACTCTTCATTCAAACCAATTCACGAACTACCTTCGATCATATTCTCTCGTCAACTCCTAGCTCAATTTGTTTTGATTCAACTTCATCTGGGTTTTTTGTGATTCTGAAAATTTATCTTGTTTTGATGGAAGAAATCGATGTTCCTCCGTTCTTCCTCTGCCCTATTTCTCTTGAGATCATGAAGGATCCTGTGACGGTGTCCACGGGGATCACTTACGACAGGGAAAGCATAGAGAAATGGTTGTATTCCGTTAAGAACACTACTTGTCCGGTGACAAAACAGGTCATTGCGGATCGTGAGCTTACTCCGAACCATACACTCCGGCGATTGCTCCAGTCCTGGTGCGTGCTTAATGCCTCGCATGGAATCGAAAGGATCCCTACCCCGAAGCCACCGATCAACAAATCTCAGATCGCTAAGCTCCTCACCGATGCCAAGTCTCCACAGCAGCAGAGAAAGTGTCTCCGTAGACTACAATCAATAGCCGTGGAAAATGCAACAAACAAAAGGTGTATTGAAGCAGCAGGCGCAGTTGAGTTCTTGGCTGCAATTGTAATCAATTCCAATTCCATGGAAGAATCATCTGAAGATGGGGTTGACTCCACTCGACCAACAGACGAGGCCATAAGTATCCTCTACCATCTACAACCATCAGAAGCCGGTCTCCAGAATCTTCTTGGAAAAAATAGTGATTTTGTTGAGTGCTTAACCCGAGTCATGCAACGTGGGACATATGAGTCCCGAGCATACGCGGTTCTATTGTTAAAATCACTGATGGAAGTAGCAGATCCGATGCAACTTACTGGATTGAAACCTCAACTGTTCATTGAAGCGATCCAAATCTTGCAAGATCAGATATCCTACCAGGCCTCAAAAGCTA